TTTTTTTTTTTCCAAACTTGTTTTATGACTAACAAACTTCTAATTTTGTTTAGCAATGCAGAATTGATTCAAATAATTTTTTTTTTTAAAATGACGACAAATTTTTGTATAACGTCCAGTGACTTCTTAACAAGATTTCTTAAAGCTTTTTGGTCTGACTAAACATTTGTGAACGCATCAGGAATAGATTTATAAATTATAAAAATGAGGAAAAAATTGCAGAGTTATGTATAAGGGTAAAACAAAAAAAAATATGGTGTTCCCATTAAACTGATTTCAAAAGCCCGCAAATTGTAGATGTGCTTTGGTGTACCACTGGTGGATATTTGCTCCACCACTGAAGACATAAAATTTAGCTCATCACACCTAACAGTTGCTAAGGCCAGTAGTCATTAAAAATGTGGTGCTTATGATTGTTCTTATTATCAGCTTCATTTGGCAATAGAAAAGGTGGCAAATTTGCAGATTGACAATGTAGCTCTACTGGAATCTGTTGTTACAACATTTTTGGCAAAAAAAAAACTTATAGATGTTCTAAGTTTACATTGCTATGCAGAAACATATATATCATAAAATGATTAGAGAACCTTTTAACAGCTTCTCGGTTTCCTCAATAAAACTTCTTTTTAACAATTATCAATAAAACGAATGATACTTTCCTATTATATCTTCATAATGCATTTGCTGAACTATTAGTGACCGAAAAAACTTTGAGTGATCGTTGTAGGCGTCAAAACGAAAGTATTTTTTATAAATCAGTGTCGCCTGATTGCAACTTCATTGAGCAGCGCCACTTTTGTACCGTGTTTTGGAATTTTGCTATTTAAGACCTCACAGTAATCAGGTTCAAAATGGTGTTTGTCCAACAATATAAAGTCAGTACTCTCACTTTTAATGGAAGCCCTATAAGAGAACAACAATTAACCGCTAAGCTGAATGAATTAAAATATAAAGACTTTAGTACCAAAGTGCGCCAACTTTAAAATTGTAAAAAATTGTAAAGTTCCAGTAGACTTTGAAACTGTTGATACAAAAACTCTGCAATTTCACATTTACCAATTTACCCTTTTCATCGAATAGGAAGTGCTGTTTAAGAAATTGAAAACAGATCAATTCCTTGACGTGTAAAACATGATGCAGTTGTCAATGACTCACTATAAAGGTATGAAGTTTGACCTATAATAGGTTGCAGTCACGTCAGTATTAATGCGATTTAGTCTTACTGTGACAACTGATAACTCCGTCTTTCAGAAACTAAATACAGACCCGATAAGTCAGAAAAAAGGACAAACCAACACATCAACAACATTCTTTGAAACATCATCTAAAGGTATGTTGAAGTTTCCGGCTGTAGTAAACTTTTGACTTCACTTCCTTGTACCTTTACAACATCAACATTCCATCTGTTTGCTTGCAAACAAACCTCAGTCACTAAAAACTGTTTTTAAAGATGGATTTACCACCTTAGAAGAGGGCCGTTCATCGGAGCGGAGTAAACCGGAGATCATAGAGACAAAAGCGACGCATTTTTTCAATATAGTAAGGTGTTTATGCAATTTTAGAAACTGTGAAGAAGAAAAGATGTATTTTACCTACAAACTTCTTGCTGAAACTAAATTATTTATTACTGAACATCAGATGGTTTTTAGAAACGATTAGCCAATCTCATTGTTCATACTGACTTGCTAGACACTAGTGCAACGTATGAGAAATTTTTTATTGGCATCAATGGAGAAATATCGATAGTTGATGAAACAACTTCAACGGTGCGTCATTTCTATAGTGATGAAATTTTACTCATATTTCAAGACGTTATTGTCATACCAAACAAAACTACACCGAAATTATACCCCTCTTGACCCTACTTAGTTGAGCAGGTTTGATTCAAAATTTACGGAATTAAAGGAACCTTTGACACATTACCTGCAGAACAGCAGCTTAATAAAACTATGCAAAAAAAGCCTAATGTCAGTCTCGTCGCAGTTACTTACTTCACACACTTGCACCCATTTTTGGTTTCTAATTATTTAAATGCCTATTCAATATCATATCTCCGTTGCCTACAAAAAAATATTACTTATTAACCGAACATTCAGGAAACAAGAAAATAAGATTTGTTTGCGAAAAAAATAAAATATTTAAAACAGTACTAAGTCAGAAAAACTAACCTTAAAAGTGGTTTCAATATACCTTCAATAAGATGAACCTACCAAAAAGATATCTACCTGTGAAATGTTTTAGTAACAAAGTTTCTTTAACACTTTTAGCCTAAAATCAGTTCAATAAAGAGTTCATCACGGAGATGTCTTGAGAGGAGTAAAATTAAAACGGAAAAGTAGTATTCTCACAATTGGAACCCGTTGCTCAATTTCTAGCTCAAACTTTTATACAATATCATACTATTATATGACCAAATTTTTTTCGGCAAAATCTTCAACAACTTCCAATTTTTACCAATGCTACCTTACAGAAGATCATAGATAGTTTCCAAAACAAATAGAAGTTAATAATTTGTTACAGTCAGTCAGGTCAAGGAATCAGGTTATTGAACATGAAAAAGTCATTAAGATTGCTGAAATTACGAACCATCCAAAGATGACAAATTTATTAAAAAATCTCGTCTGTTTTTTATGCCTTACCAAAAAAACGCTGCTCCTGTAAAGTATCACAGATAACCAATTCTTCTTCTAAATTAAAAACCAAAAAAACACGAGAAATTTATGAACAGCACAGAGAATACTCAAAAAACTACTCTTTTTCTGGCCAGTCAATTGTAACACCATTTCATTTACACGAGTTTTAGACTCCTTACCCGCGACCTAACACCTTGAAATTTGTCACTCCTTCTGGTGGACGACCACTCGAGCTTCTAATATCAGAGTACACGCTAAATACGCTTCTACTCAAAGCCCATAAGTAAGTACAAGTCCTACAAAGTAACTCATTTTTACACTTGCTTTCTTGCCATTCCCAAGCAATATGCACTGTCTAGCATTGACGCAGTCGTCTTCCGGATTGGATCAAGCTCACCATCTTTCGGCAAGCTACTGCGAACGACCTGTTCAGTAGACGAGGTTTGTCTTTCAGACATTGTTTCCGAGCCAGGTGAAAAATATCCAAATTCCCAGTTGGAGATCATACTACGCTCTACGCAACCACCCACCGTCCAGCTTTCGAGAGGTCTGCTCACTTAGAGTCATTTTAAAGCATTTTATAACAGACTTCTCTCCCTCTCAGAATTAAACTTCCAAGATTGCTTGTTAGATTTAACTTAGCGATAAAAATCACGAGTCCGAAAAGTTGTCTGCACAACATCCCAAACGGTAGGTACTTGTACGTGACCCGAATCACCTTCAGGAATTGCAACGCTTCGACTTGAAGGAAGAGCATTGTTTTACATAGAAGGAACGACAAAAAAGATAGGCGTAATTCCATTCGAAACGACAGCAATATTTAAAGTTACAACAGCTAACGGCAGAGTTGTCGGTAAGTTAGAATGCAACATTACATGGTCCCAAAAGAAACAAAAGTTACACATAAAAAGCCTGTTTGTTTCAGGAAATTTCATTATACCATCGTTAGTTTTTAAAAAGGAACTGGATTTCTTCGGTCTTAGTAGCGAGTCCCTTGACGGTCTTCGGACCGCTACAAAAGGCGCATTAACTAAGTTAATAAATTCAAAACTGTCAGACGGCATCAACTTAAAAACTCAACCAAACTCACGCATCATCAACCCAGCACTATTTATAATGAATGATGCCGTGCTAATACAAGCTGATGTCAATGTTGAAAACGAGTTCTACAAATTCTCTGAAACTAATTTTGTGCGATATTCAGCAGCTGCTAAAGCGTAAAATGCTGAATCCCTTCCCTCCGCTTCCTTACACTTAAAACGTTACGGAGGGACCAGAATCCTAGAAATTATGTAAATACATGATAACTAAAGTGCCAAAGTATGTTTAAAAAAGTGATAATTTCACTTTGATAATAAGAGAAACGTGTTAATTGCTTTAGCAAATCGTTATACACCCGCCATTCCAGCTGTGTAGTAAAAGACATTTTAGAAGTCCTCTTGTTACGCACACTGAAACAGTTGTATAAAGTATTATATTTAAGTCCAGCAAACAGTGAAAGTGTTACAACCCAGTTGAGGTAGTGAATGTGGGTACAAAAACAGCCGTAAGCTGTAATGCCCTTAAACTCTGCTTAATAAACATTTTTGCTTTGAGCAAGACGCAAAACAAAACAAAACAAAGTACTTCAGGCAAGAAAATAACTTTTAGCTCTAACATTCCCCAACAAAAATAAAAACATCTTCCAATTACGTCTTTTCTTCGTTTTTTGACAGAAATTCCTTCAGCGTATTCACACGTTTTTCCTCCATATCCTTAGCTTCCTTCAAGTGTGATAGGTCAACTTCAAACTTGAAATCCAATGCAGCAAGAAGTCTAAAACACTTCGTTTTCAAAAAAACTCTTGTTTAGCTAATCTAAAAACTTATTTCATTGTAGTGGTTAAGTACAAACCGTGTGACTATTAAAAGATTATGCAGCTGATTACAAGCATCTTCAACCGACGCGCCTGAACCTCGATTTTTGACGAATAACTCGGTCATCTCCTGAAATTTTCTACTTACATTTAAAGTAAATTTAAGACAGTCCAACAAAATATCAACAATTCTTTTGAAATAATTTGATTAACCTTGTCAATCCCTTGTGGTAATGTAATATGCTCGACATTGTTTCGGCAAACCTGCAATGTGTGCCTACATTCTTTCAAAGTCCTTTCATCTTGAAGAATGCTTGCGGGGTCAACGCCATCGCAGAACTGAGGAGGAATAGCCAGCGTAAAAGGCAATCCCTGAGGATTAAAAATAAAATAATTTATAGAATGGAAACCCAGTATATTCTAGGAAAGCCGCGTTTTGAAAAAATGAAGCGCTTTATCAAAAATTGTATTAACAACAGTGTTGCAAACCAGCTTAAGACAGGATGGATTTTTTGATAAGACGAGGATGTTGACGTCGCTGTCTATGTTGAAAGGATGCGTATAATCATATTCAAAAACTTGCTGTTTAACTAATCTTTCCAAAACAGTGAGATTTTTGTTTAAAATCGCTCTTTCTGAAACAGGAAATATCTGCAAATAAGTTGGATAAATTGTGTCTGCTGAGAATAGGACATTTCAAAAAATCTAACTATTAGTTCTTAATTGCAGTATAGATAAAGAGAATCAGAAAGAGAAAGAAATTCGGGGTACTGAAAAAAGAACGCAATCAAAAACTGCTGAACGAATGGCAGAAAATGTTCTGTAATAGAATACCAACGAGGAGAGATATGAACTTACTATTCGCGGGAACGCTTGAGAGACAAGATCGAGAAAATTTTGTTTCATCAATTACGAAAACAGTCCCGCTACTAAACTGCAAAATACCGTCTTCCAAAACATCAGTGTCGTAATTCATTTTCGGGATTAGAGAATCAGTAGCGAGTGCTTCCGCAGTGACTTCATAAACGATCACCTTAAAATGCATGCTGAGTTACAGCAACTATCTTTTAACTGACGCAAAACCAAAAAGCTTCAAGAAAAGTAACATTCGCAAAACGAAATCTAACCTTTGGCATCAACAGCTTTATATGACGTATGATGCTAGCAGTGTCTGTAACATTAACAATATTCATTGCCATACTGCATACCGGATTCCCAACAGCTCTAATGTACCTTGAACAGATTAGTTTTGATTAAAAAACGAAAAACAAAGATTCTGCAGTATTAGACAAGACTCCTCAATAAACATACGTTTTAGAGATCAGGTGACAGCAAAGGTAGTCAGCAGCACTTGTGTCACCAAGCAATAAAGACAACGACTTTTTTACAACAGAAAGAGCCTGAGGATTGCTATCCGAGATCTAAAACAGAGAATTCCACAAACTTTCAAATTTGACAATCGAGTGATTAACAACATTTAAAACAAAAAACTTTAAAACCCAAAAACTACTTCCCCTATCTCCCCCTACAAAGGAATTTAGCGGATTTTTACCAGAGGAAATGTTTGATTCAGAACTTTATGGTCCACCACAGCTTCAGAAGCAATAACGTGAAAACTGCGAAAGTAAACAGCAGAGCTAAAAATCAGATTAACAAGAATGAGTAATACAGACAAACTTAACAATAAATACTTTAAAACCGTGTAGTAAGCCACACTATGAGAAAAAAATAGGAATTTACTTCTCCGATGTGCCTTCCTCATAAAATTCTTTCATATCCAAAACACCAAATAAGTCAAAGACGTGATTTGGCTTCAGTTCTGAAGAACTTTCGTCGAGAAACTGAAACCAAAAAACATAATCTGTAGAGATAAACACTGTAGATCCAGTATAATAAAAGATGTTTAATGTAGAAAGTTGTTCAGTTATGAATCAATTACACTTAAAATACTTGAAAAAAAAAAAAAAAAAAAACAAAAAGGAAATTAATGTCCTGTACTAGAAAAGACCTAAAGCACACCTTGGCAATCATCCTCCATTCCTTTTGCTTACCACCACTAGCACTCGGAGAGCAATCACCAGTCCCATCTGAACAAGGAAGTCCAGTACGAAGCAGAATGAGGGAAGGAAAAGAGGTGTACAAAGATTTAGGTTAATTTTTCTGGAACTTAGTGTGTAGACAGATTGTTAAGACCCCATTAAAAAACTGCAACCAACTCTTCTAAACGAGCTCTTGAACAAGTACCAAGAAGTTAAATTACCAGCTGTTACCGCAACATCGTAAAAACTTTCATTGTACCAAGTCGATGCACCAGGGACTGGTCCAATACCGTAAATATAACGCGTACCAAGTTTCACCCTTTCGTCATCTAGCTGGAAAAACCAAACAGGATATTTATGGCTGCGTAAATCAATTAGATCTAAGGAAAAAATCTTTTATTCACATCACTGTTATGGCTCAGAAATAAAACTTACAGCATCAAACAGGCTGCGAAATAAGCCACAAGATACTTTCTTGGTCTCATCTCCTGTGACCTTGCTGCTCATCGGATATACTTCAAAACCCTTTGTTTCTTTTAGCATGCAGCGTACTCGTACTAATTCACCATCGGTGATATCAGCGTCCGTCAGATTTAGAGACTTGCAAGTCTTAAAAATTAGTATTCGCTGCGGCTTTAGACGCTTTTATTACCGGCAAACATTAATTCAATATTTACAAGGGGGAAAAAGGGAAAACTTTTATATCGGGTAAACTGTCCACCTTCCTGAACGGTAGGATAACTTCTTTTAAAATTTCAAGCATTTTTTTCGGGTCTTCCATATACTCGTCAATTCTTTCTAAAAAATTATGACGATAGGAAAATGATGAAGAAGAAGTTTAAAAGCATTAAAGATCCTTCTGCCAACCGTATCGGCTTTGAAAGAAAAAAGACACTTTTAAAAGAAATGTGGTATAATAATGATAACAACCTGCAAATAAATCATCAATAATGTTATGTATGTTTTCTGAAGCACGAAGTCGGGTACGCATTTGCTCAATTGAAACGTTACCTATTTCTGCCATTCTTTTAGTTCAAGATGTCAATTAAATGCTGAAAAATTATACTTAGTAGCAGCAGC